GCCGAGCTATCGGCGGAAGGTGGCGGAAGTCGCGCCGCAGAAGTTTCTACGAATCCGCGGTTGGTTGCAAACTTGCCGAAGGGTCGAAACCGCCGGCGCGCCGTGAAATTACTCGACGGGTACCTCCCCCGGGGCCGAACTTGTCCGCGACAATTTCAAACTTATTTTAACATTCATATAAGCCCCCGTGCTCTCTCCTCGTGTGCGAGGCGCCCCTGAACCGCCGTCTACGCATCCCTTTCGCTGCGTAACCAGAGAAGCGACCCGTGTAGCGACGGCTCCTTTCTCGATGTAAGGACGTGCGAGCGTAAGGGCGGCTTGGGATTTACATAAGATTATGCGTAAGCCCTCGTACGCCCCGCGCGTAAGGGGATCGACGAAATGGTGTCGCGGTGAAACAACGCTCCGGGGTGCGCTCATCTCACACTGATAATTATAATAAAGCGGCGTTGTATGACGTACGAGCAGCGCGATAAGCGTCATTGTCGATTCCGGCGTGGTACGATCAGATGTGATTTAGATTCTTTTATCGGTTTTACATTGCGATCTGGCTTGAAATCTCGCGGCAAGTTTACGCGACGGTATCGCTCGTATGTATAAAGGGTCGTTTACAATAAATGACGTAAGCCTGGCATAAGAAGTAAGAAGTAAAGAAATTAATCGTTTCCATTTCTTACTCCTACTTCAGCTCTGACGTTTACTCTCGGCGAATTAGAGCACAGTTCGACCGGTGCCACAATGTAGACGGCCCTTAAGAGGCAAAGCTTGAGGCAATAATTATCTGTATCTTCGTACAGTTTCATTATTTTATATATTAAATATTTTATGTACCGTTCGACTATTTCTTTATTTACAACTCTATAACTCGCTCAAACATGCATGTTTATATAAATTCTCTAAATATATAACTTATAAATATATGTGATATAACTAACGCTCCCAGCAAGTAGTACGCGTATAATATATAGACTGCGCGTTTGGCTGAAGCAGGGTACAAACTTTAGAAAGAGACAACATACTTTGAGTGGTCGCCCTCTATCATTTCCCCTACACTTCTGTTCTCTCCACTACTGTACTAGACAAAGATGAGCCGACGACTCATCTTTAGCTATCTCGTTTTAAAATTTGTACATGTTCAATAAGGGAGAGGTAGGGAACGCGCAGTCTATTCTTACTATGTCTGTGGTAGTACGCAAAAAGAATGTTTGCTATCGTTGAGTATATAAAGCAATGGAAACTAAGAATGATCTCGATGTTACGCGGCATGTGATGTTTCTAAAATTGAATTCGGCATAAATTGCAAATAGTTAATTTGTTTGAAGAAAATACATGAGTAACGAGTGATTTTTCTATTCGCGATTACGGAAATCACTTTCTGCCGATAAACATCGATTTTTGTTAGATTTACAAACTACTTTATATTCCAATAAGGCAACGGGATTTACTATCACGCCGCTCTTTGCCTCGTGGCGTTGTTAAATCTTACCACTCGCACCCCGTGATGCGTTTTATATTCATAGTCTGTGCGAAAATTGCTCCTAGAGCACAATAAAGATTATACGAGCCATAAAGTCAATTCAGCCTGCCCTGCCGATGTTTATTTAAGCGTGGGAGATATGCTACGGGGCTTCTTTTCTTAATTTCATCTCTACCCTCTTATCCCTACCCTCTTTTCATATTATTCTTCTTTCCTGCTGTACCTACTACTCCCGCAGCTTTACTGAACCTATAGTTGAGACCAACCGACGGTGGTTGCTGCGAGACCATCGTATCGACCGGGTGAGAGATTTCCTCGGCCCGGCATCGAGGGCACTGGCTGGAATTCCGAATAAACCCGCACTCTTATGAATATAGCTAGAACTACACGTTCACCGCGCGAAACGCAGTTAACAAAGAAGATTCCTTTCCGTAGAGAGATCGTCGGAAAACAAGTCACGCTAGCGATTTTTGATTATTTTATATCGAAATTGTGTATGCCAATCCTCCCGTGATGTGACGGCACCAAATGTCACATGTTAATGTGTCTAATTAAAATCAAAATTTTCCTCATTCTCCTTTCGCACGGAAATAATGTTGCAAACACGAATGGCGTCTCTCTTGCTACGTGACACCCCTTTGATACGTGACTTTCTATCTGCACTTTACAATAACCTTCACACGTCGCAAATTGTGGCAGGAAAAATGAAAACGACACGAGATAAAAGCTGCGAAGCCACACCGGTAGCAGTAGTAGGTACCACAGTATTATAAAATATAGAAACACTGCGATGCGTTTCTCCTCTTCTTAGTACAAACTTTTTTTAGCTAAAAAAATAAATGGAAATATTTGTATGAGTGTAATTTATGCAAAAATATTCGCTAAATTGTTATATGTATAATTCGTCTATTCAAACGATCATACATTTTAACAAATGCTTTAAAAATAGTGACTTCTAGAATTTCTTGTACGATATTCCGTTAATTTGACAGTTGATGAGAATATTTCATATATGCCCATTTTGTGAAAGTTATCTTCAAGACAAAAATTATACTCTCGATATAAACCAATCTTAAACACGCATGACGTTATGAAATTATTTAACACATCTGGGAGAAAAATATTCAGTATTAGATAATCGTTGTAATTCGCAGTTTAATACCCAGTTTAAGCGAGTTTAAGATATATAATTGCCCGCTTGGGATTCATAACACTATGTCAGTACTATTAAAAACTTCTTCCTCGTATGATTCTGCATACGAGTTAAAGCGACTGATGTCGGTATTCTATACTTTCGCGGCATGACGTAACGTAGCGTTTCATCGGTGCTTGCTGCGGGAAGCGGTTAAAGTTTTTCTGTGAAAAAGAATTACTGCAAGAAAATGTACCGGTAGTCGTTATTCCCAAGCTGTTCAATTTTTGCGGTGATAATACATCTTTATAGCACGAATTCGAGGGGTATGTTTATGACGTTATTTCAATACACCTCGTCGTCTGCGTGCGCGAAAAGAGATATCACATCTTTTTATGAATTTATGACTTTTGATTTCTGTATATCTACACTCGGTTATCGCTACACGTTCGTTCTCGACACTTTGTAGGTATTCTAGCTTTTGTATGCTTAGAGTTTCCCGGGACAATCGCAAATCTCTAAGCGTATTTACAACCGATGCCATTTTAAATATACAATATTTATGCATCGAAAAGTACTTAAAATATTTTAGTTTCAATTTCCCTGGTAAATCTTTATAATGTGAACATGAGAAAAACGCGATGATTACTCGAGTTTGATAATTTCGAGCAATTTATTTTGATCTCTCTAGATATTATGCGGATGTGGCCGTCTTGATGGTACTGAAATTTCGGAAGCTATTTCAACAGCCATACATTTGCGGCACAAGAATTTGAAGCCGCTATTTTACGCTCCGGACATCGAGATTTCCAGCATAGTCAATCATTTTACTAAAGAGATGGATACCAAGAATCCTAGAAATGCTCTCGTTGAAGGCGCCAGATTAGCAAGAGGCTGCATAAAACCTCTATGCGAATGCGAAGTTTGTACGCATGGCGCCCTTATTATACCTGGAGGATTTGGTGCTGCGCGTACTTTGTTCGTATATTGAAATGATATCTGAAATGATAGACGTACAAAAGTAGATAGTAAAATGAAAGCGGTGGATTAATAAAAATAATGTATATAGAGCAAGGAAAAAGACATTCTTCTGTCTTATCAAAGTAGTAAATGTAACGGATGTCAACATCATCGATTTCTGAAGCACAGTTTCAATCTTAAAATACAATAGACATTTAACCAAATTTCTAATTATTAATAGAAATAATTTGTAAACTTGTGACAATAATAAGAAAATGCATCAATAAGTAATATTTATACAAATCCCCCCGAAAATCATTCTGTGTGTGATATGTTACTCTTTAACAATTTACATTAATATGTACTTTGTATTTATGTACAACAGAGCAAATTTTATATTAATTCGTATATTATTTTTGTAATTTAAATAGTTTTTTATTCCATGCAAATTATTTTTGAAAAATAAATACGATAGAAATTTAACCAAATTATTGAAACTTTTTCTTTTACAAAGGAGTAATTTTGCCGAAAAAGGTACCGATTGCACCGTTCTACCCGACTTAGAGAAACTTATCGAGGACTTTTACTGTGAGAAGAAACCAATCGGTACTATGTGCATAGCTAGTGCGATTGTCGCTAAAGTGTTGAAGGGTGTGAAAGTTACTCTTGGCAGGGAATGTAAGTTAACTCGTTTTACCGTTGACAACTCTATTTTGTAATAGTAAAAAATTATTTCTTACAGCACCCAAGAAAGACTGGCCGTATGGTGATGCTATCAAGAGGGTCAAAGCGATGGGCGCGAAGGTAGAAATGAAAGATGTTAGAGGAGTAACATTAGACAAGAATTACGGCGTTCTCAGTACACCAGCGTGGTTGTACGAACCTGCTACTTATTCAGAAATTTACGACGGTATTGGTAAACTTGTGACAATGTTAAAGAAATGCATCAATAAGTAATACTTATACAAATCCGTTTGAAAATCATTCTGTGTGATATCATGTTACTCTTTAACAACTTACATTAATATGTACTTTGTATTTATATACAACAGAACAAATTTTATATTAATTCGTATATTATTTTTGTAATTTAAATAGTTTTTCTTCCGTGCAAATTATTTTTAAAAATATTAAAATTGTTACCTACCTTGCAGACGCGCATTTTTTCATAGAATTAACACAAGATTATGGGACAGGAACGTTATATTTTCGAAAAAATATATTTTATTTACTTTTTTTACCGCGCCTTTTCGAAATAAAGGGATTTGAGGGGGGCGCACGTTTTGAGTATGTTAAACGGGTCAATAAATCTAATGGTACAATTAAAATAATTAACAACAAGTGAAACAACAATGAATCGAGATCTGTGGCAAAGAATTTCTGTCGATTTAGATTCGACTTTATGTAATTAACAAGAATTGTGTTTAGAAATTTTCTTCTTAAAAATTTTTAATTTTCTTATTATGATTTCGTTTTAAATTTGGAACTTAAACAGTTTGGAGAGAAGTATATATGTTAACGTATTTTTATCACCAACAGAAAATACAAAATGGGCAGTCTTTATTATTTTACTGAATATATAGGTATGTCGATTGTCACATAAAGTATGACCAATTAAAATTAATTTTTGCCGATGCACGCAAAGCCGTGTGTGCTTAATGTAATATTTAACGGATAAACGCAGCACGTTTCCGTTTTAGCTGAAACATTAAAATATAGAAGAACGCGCAAAGTGAAATAATTTATCCGTAATACCAAATAATACCAAGATTCCTCGCAAGTCAACTCAACGCGGTCAAAATTTTGTCACGCGTATTTTTATAGATCTATATCTTTCCGTCTTCCATTTTTAACACCTGGAGTGAAATAACGGCAGGTAATTCGAAAGAAAGAAGGACAAATGTAAGAACTGTTGCTATGACGAACAGATCTCATGCATATTCTGAAGTATATCCCGCGTGCTTACGCGTTTCGCATAATTATAGGATAACGAGGCCGCGCGCACGAGCCTCGTGGTTTTAGCCCGAGCACAAGTGTCGTTGGTAAGAGTTACCGATTCCGGAATCGTGGCTTACTCGAGCGTAACGTTCACGTACGAGCAAGTGAATTCAATCAACGTAAAAGGTCTCCGTAAATAATCGTTGCTACTAGTTAGCTTTGCAAGCGCCTTGCCGAAACGGGAACGTATCTCCAGAAGGTGTTTGTACGACCGCGGCGGAACATATATAGCACCACGTGGAATTTCTTAATCGACGCACTGTAGACTCGAAAAATCATATATTTAGGATCTTTCAAACTCGTGCGGCTACCACCTAACTTAGGGAATAATTTAAACGTTAAGGCCACGTGCGTTTTCGATCTAACAACGATTGGCCGATAAACAGGAACGGCAGTGCCTCGTACACTTAATGCTATTACCTTAAAAGCTACATTAATTAATCCAAATTTTCGCATCGCCCAGCAAGTGATGTGGAAGCTTCGTTCTGGAAAAACTGTGAACTGACATTTTCGCTTATCTCCGTTATCGATACAGAGCGTCGTCGGAATTCCAATGGTAGGAATTGTATATCGCCTGACCGGCGACGTCGCGCGTTAATTTCGAAAGACGATTCTCGAGTCGCCAGCTTTTTGGCTTGATCGAAAAGTTTATATGCGCGCACAGTATCGTCCGCAGGTGAAGAGAGATGCGAATCTTTTCTGTTCTTGTCGCACGTTTTCAGTACATTCTCCTCCAATGATAGAAAAACGACGCTTTTCCGACTTTGGTTCTGATCCCGAGGCCAAATTTCGCGTGTGGGAGAAATCCCGGAGGTTTGCGTCCACGTTAACGTACACTTTAGCGACATTTCTCTACGCTCAGCTGAGAGCGAGCAGCGGCTCGACGGACATACGAGATCTTCTGGCCTTGTCCTCTTCGTACTGCTTTATCTTCATTAGCTTCCACTTGCCCTTGCTCTGCTTCTTCCTCGGCACTTCCGTGCTGGTCTCTTCCTCCGCGTTAGACCGCTCCTCTTCTTCCAGCATCTTGAGAGTCTCGATGATATTCCTGGGCTCCGTGACGCGTCCAGTGGAGCTGTCGTTTTTGTTGGCATACACCACGGAAAGATGTGAGAAACTGGACTTTGGCGGCGCCGTAATGTCGGCGAAATCGCGGAAGTTCGCAAAGAAGTCACCGCCACGAATCGGCTGTGGTTTTGGGTTCCTGTAATATTGCGCACGGCCACGATTGTGATAGTACGGATTGTAGAGGCTCTCGTCTACCGAGTACTCGTCGTTCTCTTTGTCCTCCGGATAGTATGTACCGCCGCGGATCACGCCGAAGTTACCTGACCCCAGTATGGAGTGTTGATCCTTGGTCGCGGCGGTCTGATAGTTCCGCTCGCGTTGGAAATAGCCCAGGAATCTGTTGGGACGGTATCGCTGTTGCTGTTCTGCGAACGAGAGCCTGTGATTCGTGAAGAGTTCCGCGAAAGAGGGGAAGAAATTTTGACTTTCGGTTGCCAAACTTCTGCCGCCTGCATCGGCGGCGACCTGCGCGACGGCGGTGTGATCCGTGTTCTTCGCCTCCTGATCTTTAGAAGCTTCAGGCTTCGCGGCTTCGGGTAATTTCTCATTACTCTTTTCGGTAGTAACGGTTAGCGCCTCGCGTTGATTACTCTCTTGCGTGCTCTCCTCTGTGCGATCTGGTTGCGAAGTCGTCTCGGATTCATCCGGCTCCATATACATGTCGGAGTCGTCGTACTCTTCGCCTACCTCGGACGCCGACGCCACGGAGTCCTGAAGCAGAGAGAAAAAGAGTTCCTCCACAATTATATTGGAAATTAACGCCGCCTTTCGAACAATAAACATCGGTGCGAGCGAGGGAGAAAGTCAGCGCGATGCAATCGACAAACAAACAGAAATACGTTTTACGAGTCGCTAAAACGCGCTCTCCTAAATTCATCAGCTTGCAATTCATAAACTTTCTTCACGCTTTCGAACGCCTGGTTACGCACATCGAAGATCCGAGTAATGAGCGGAACAGTCGGTCAGCTTTAACATCAGGAAATTGATTTCAAACCGCCGGCAATTATTGCCTGTGATCGTTCATGATACAAGCATCATAGAAGAATATTAAATCTCCCGTTATGTAATTTTCAGTGGTCTAATATTATCTCCAAATGGCGTTTCTACGATTGATACTTTCAACACTAATTCAATGTTACGTGATAATAGTACATTGCGCGTTAATGAAACTATCTCAGTTTTTTCTTACAACTTTCCTGTCGCGCTGTTGAAACAATTTCCTGATTCGGGAAAATGTCCTCAAAGAGCAAAATAAATAGCCGCCACCGGAACCATCACTTTCCACACAAATCCACTCGGAATTATTTCATAGTATCTAGAGTGCAGTGGCGGCTGCAGTGATTAGATATTATTCAAGACCGGCAGGAAAAGGTTTCAATGAACGTGAGGTGCAACAGTTCCTTTCGCGAAGTGCATCAGCCGAGCGTGCAGGCCGAGGAGAGACCGCCTGCGCGCTCGAGCAGCCCATCGTGTCCTCGCCTTGACATTTAAGGCATCTTCGTGCCAGCGACCGCCTGTGCAAGACCAGTTACCATAAGTACGTCATGATCCGTACGTTGGTATACTGTCTACGCATACCGTTCCACAATAGCGCGTTTCGATTGTGCACGGTGCACGCGTATGCCCGCGCGTCGCCACGGCGAACGAAACGCATAGATGATCGTTGAAATCGGTTGCAACACGTCGGCGACACGCCTAGCATTGTTACGAATATGTCAGGTCAGCACTCCGACATAGCTGTGTCTGCCTTCTCGATGTCGGCATAATATCACGCTGCTGTATTGAAGTTACCTCCACAAACAATTGCAAATCAATGTGAGCTAAGATTTGCCTCTTGTGCACGTCAACCCGAAATTCGTTAAAATGCCGATAAAATTTTCAATCTAACGACGACAAGCGATCGTTTTCGAGTAATGAATAATGATAGGTGTGTATTCTTTGTATAAGTGTTCCATAATATAAATCAAATAAGTAGAACAAACACGTAAGATTTTGCAATAAAGCGATCATAAATCAATGGCCCGCGAAAAATGTTCGGGCAAAAACGGATCGTGGTAGCCATTTCGTATGTTACATGAACTTGTAGACAATAAATTCAACATGCACCGGCGAACGTGAGTATGATGGATGCCTCATCGCGATTTATAATGAGAAATGAGCGATAGACTCGGCCGAGCGAGATACTGTGCACGAAGTTTTGATCATATCAGAAACAAAATAACGTGTCGCAGTCAATCATTCCGGTATAATTATTCGCCTCCTTCAAATAATATAATTAGGTGGCACTATCATCTTTATAGCGAGACAAATTGAAATACTACCTTTATAACATCACATATTATGTGAAATTATTTCAATATTATTGAATTATTTTCAAGTTATACGAAACGACTAAGTGAAATGAAATTATGTGACACAGTGCACGTAATCTGTGAAATAATAAACATAAATGAGACTACTTGTCACATATCGATAGGAATAGGAAACATGAAAGCAGCTTTGCGTATTATGATATAATATGAAAAGATTCGAGAGAAAACGAGCAATAATTGTATAATCAGAAAATATAATCAGCAAATCGAATGATTTGCAAGATTAATGTTGCAGTAAAAGTATCAGCATTCCAGTTCTTGTTTTTTCTTTCGATACAGATCTGAATGTCGTACCGTATGCGTATTCATTAAAATTCTCTGAATTATAAGATTATTACTTCCGAAGAAATACTACACGAACGTCATTACATTTTAATAAAATGAAAAAGATTGAAGTCCTCCGAGAATCTCAAGACACACGTACTCGACTAGCGACAATAAGAAAGTTATACAACAGAGAGATGTGTTACAATTATTACGCACTATTAGAGAACGTAATTACGTCTGCGAAGTTGGCCCCTCACTTTCAAAATTTATGAAAAAAAAAAATTAAAGTTCCGTTAGCCTCCTGAAGAGTAACAACGTAATTATAAGTTTCGTGATTTGCCTGATAGGTATGCCGGGCGAAATAATTATAAACCAAGAAATTAAATTTATAATATTATTAGTAAGATGGCGTGTGCATTCAACCAGAAAATTTTTAAAGCCGTTGACTCGATTACAACAAGCGTATTACCTCTTTCGCCATCTTATTTCAACATTTTGATGTGTAATATTCAAACAAGGATTTGAAGCAACAACTTTTCTATAACGATCGAGATCAATTGAGAAGAAAAAGGGAGAGAGAGAGAGAGGGGGGGGAAAGAAAGGATACGCTATTATTACGCGATTACAGGTCGCAAATTAGTATCGCAACGCGTTCTCGTATTATGTGAACAAAGTGCACGCGCGCGATACACCTGCAAATTATATTATCTCGCCGATGTGCATGTGCTATCCAATTAGCAAGAGCGTCTCTACTCACAGTTGGTATGAATTATACGTGAATTAGGGACAATCAGCACACAAGCAGTCGTGGGCTACACGATAGCTGATCCGTAATTGTTAGCGCAGCGCGAATCATTGCGCTGTGAAGAAACTTGAGCTTCATTATCGAAGCATATGTTGCGATACGCGAAAATACGGCACTGCACAAATCCTGGGGCGAAATCGACGATGTTGATCGACTGATCGATTGTAAAATGCCAGCTAATAATTTTATAATACCTTGTTTTTAAAGAAACTTAAGTTTTAATATCGAAGCACACATGTTGTGATACGCGAAAGTGCGGCACTGCGAAATCGATGACACTGATCGGTCGATCGATTGTAAGATACAAGTTAATAATTTTATAATGTCTTTTGTGATTCTCGGTTAAAGTTCGTCAATTTTTCTTTTCGTTAAAAGAGATTAACCTTTGCACTGCAGTGAGGAAATAAAGCTTAGATAGAAGTTATAATGGTTTCCTTTGTTGATTGAGAATCTGCGCATATAGTTAAAAAATTTTCCTTTACTTAATTTAGAAAATATTGAGTAAACCTAAATACACAATAATAAAACATTTTGATAATAAGTTGTGGAACACAATAATACGTAGTTAATAATAAGTTAATAAATGATTTTTTATTCGGTAAAACACGCCAGGTGATCGTTCACGAAAAAAAACTAGGTTACTATTTCTGGGTTAAAAGAGCTCAAATTTAAATAAGATTACTAAAAAATTAATACACTAGGGAATCGTATTAATTAAAATACTTAAAATCGTGAGCATAAACTATTTCTTGCTTAATTAATTTTTTGTAAATATATATCTATTAGTTTTGAAACTTTACGAGATTACGAAAGACAATAGATAGAAAACAGGAAAAAAAAATTATATAATTTATCAAGTAATCGCATTCAAGTATGAACAATGGTTAGCGTTAATAATTGTACAGATAGTTATCTGAATTTATATAAATTAATGTAAAAGGAGAAACGCAAAGAATTGTGCTTAAACAAGATTATATCTCCGTGAATCTACCGATAATTCGTGTAAAATATTCATCCGACTACGTAATTATTCCATGTAACAAATAGGATATTCCACAAATACCGTGCAATGTTTTAATTCAATCCTTTAATTAAAGTTGAAAATCTTATGAAAATATCGGGGTCACTACAGTTTCCTAGCTGTCAGCAAGGAGAGCTAACAAAGAAAAAATTGTAATTGCGCTTACTCGCAATTACAATTATATGTATATTCGGTAATACTGAAGGAGAGGGGCCTCCTC